CCGCATGGAATCCAGGAAGGCCCCCCGGAGCCGCTCCAGGCCCCGCACCGCAGCCTCGGAGTAGCCCAGCAGCTCCACGCCGCGGTAGGTACAACGCCCGCCGCGCGCACTGGCCTCCGAGGACGCCAGCTCCCGCAGGAAGCCCTGGAGGCGGGCGCCCCCTGAGCCGCGCTGAGCTTGCAGGGAGGCCGCGGCGGCCATCACCAGGGGCTGCAGCAAGGCCAAGTCCGGCTCTTCTGGCTGCAGGATGAGGGCGAGCTTCTGCACAGAGGGCAGAGCATCCAGCAGCAGGTGAGTGAAGGCCATGAAGGTGAACTGGCGCAGGGCCAGGGCCAGCGCTCCCGCCGTAGGTGAGGCTGGGGCCGCGGCCTCCAGGGTGGGTACCAGGCAGGGCCAGGCTTCAGCCACGGCTTCCACAACGGGCAGCAGGGAGGCCCAGGGCACGGGTCGTGGCCCTGTCAAGTCAACAGCTGCAAGGTCCAGTGCTGCCCGGAGCTCAGGGACCATGTGGGAGCTGGGGCCACCGTGGAGGCGGAACAGGGCATCCAGGATGCGCTCGTATTCACCCAGGTAGGCAGGGGGCTGAGGATCAGTCCGGCCAGGGAGGCAGTGCAGCCCGGTGAGCAGTGGGCACGTGGCCCGCAGCTGGGGGCCTACACTCCCCAGGCGGTCACTGGGGAGGCTGGAACTGAGCCAGGCCAGCTTAGGTGCAGAGACGCCAAAAGCATGCAGGATGTCTAGAAGCTGGCTGGCGGTGGCCTCGCCCTCTTGCAGCTCCACACTGCCCAGGAAGGTAGTGGCGGGCTGGCCATCGCATGGGGACACCGAAGTGGCAAACAGGGCCAGACTGTGGGACTCGGGCCAGTCCCTGGTCTCGTCCAACACTAGCCCCACATATGGGGATGCCTTCAGGCGCTGGCAGGCCTCCATGTGCAAGACACTGGCAATGGCCACCTGGGACAGCCAGGAGAGAAAGGGAAGGAGGACAGAGTGAGGCTTGTCCTGAGACAGAGAGGCAGCAGGGCAGGGAGGTGGTAAGAGCACAGACCTTGGGGACAGACAGACTCAGGGACTGATCCTGGCTTTGCCACTCCCTGGCTGTGCTACCTGGGGCCAGTCACTTCACCTCTCTGAGCCTGTTTTCTCAGCTCTAATACCTGCTCTCAGCTAAAACCTGCCCCGGCTCTGAAAGGACTGTTGTGAATGATAAATATAAATGTTTTTGTGGTGGTTATAAATGCAAAAGTGCTTTAGGAGTCATCAAGAGCTCTAAAAAGTTTAGTTTCTCTGTTATTATTTTTTTTTTTTTAGTTGCAGTCTCACTCTGTCACCCAGACTGGAGTGCAGTGGCACACTCCTGGTCACCGCAGCCTTGATCTGCTGGGCTCCGGCGATCCTTCCGCCTCAGCCTCCCAATTAGCTGGAACTACAGACGCGCGCTACCACGCGTGGCTAATTTTTTTGATTTATTGTAGAGAAGAGGGCTCGCCAAGTTGCCCGGGCAGGTCTCGAACCCACGGGCTCAGGCAATCCACTCACCTCGG